TTAGTAGCGGGGATCCAGGCATGGATGCCCCCAATCAAGTCGGGCCCACGGTTGGGGTTCCAAGTTGGGTTGTCTTGGCACAATTTGTAATTATAACACCCCCAAATTCTATCACAGGAATACACCACTAAAGCATAAGTAAATAGAATATAATCATATTTCAAAAAGGAATACAAATGGGAAACTCAAATCAACACTAAAGTTTAGGGGTGTCACACCAGATTTGGGCCAACCAAAGCCCAAATGCTAAAGCTACTATCTACAATCCCAATTACAATATTCCAACGTTCAAATCATAAATTAACTACAAATAGCAATTCAAGTTCTAAGTCTAAACAAGTTATACCAAACTCAAATCCAAGGCTATGAGCTCTACGCCGCGCTCTCAAACTAGCCACGAACTTCAGATCCTGAAAACATAAGTTTTGGAAAACACAAATAAAAGGATTTGTATTATAGTATTTATATGTTTTATTTGTATTTTTTTATTTGTGTTTTGGAGTAGAAGGTGAAATTGAGGCAGAGCAATTGTAGGGGTTCAAGGTTTTGGTGATTTTGGAATGCAAGTAAGATTTATGTTCACTAAATTTTTTTTAACTCCATAAAAAATTTATGTGCACCATTAGGTATGCATAAATGCACCACACAGTGTTCAAAAATGCACCGCAAAATGCATCACACACCAAAAAATGCACCCCACCAAAAGATGTATTCTTGAACACTTCGTGATGCATTTATGCATACCTAATGGTGAGTAACCGCACAAGAACTTAACCATATATATAGGGAAATAAGGCTAATAATTTGAAAATAAATGATTGTTGTGTCATGGAATAACAATGCCATAAAAGTGAATTCGCCTCTACTGGTGCAAGTTCACAACAACGTTAATTGTCGCCTCCCTAGTTTAATAGAGCAATACCCATCTTCGTGCACTCAGAACATGGGTTGGAACTTACACAACATATTCAATGCAATAAAAAAGATAAGAAAGAGATCAGAAAATCTCTATATGATGTCTGAACTAAATTACAACCATGTTTAAATAGTAGAAATCAAAGAATTATGGTCACATACTATCTAAAAGATCTTGATCATTCATCATCTCGAGGTGAATATTAAACAAAGACTAAAACATCATGATAATGGAGAACCACAAAATCAATCGACTTGCCTTTTCCCAACTATATATATATATATATATATATATATATATATATATATATATATAGGCGAGTTCAAGTGCGGCGGTGTCTTACAGTTCGGTGGTGCGGCATCACCAATAGTTCAACAAATATACACCATTAACGTTAGGAAAATACACCACAAAAAACAGAGGAAAATTAGGTACCAACACCAAACACACACCATTAGGTGTGAGTAAAAACACCATACACTGTTTGGAAATACACCATTGGGGGTGGTGAGTTATATGGTGTATTTTTTTTTGAGTCTGTTGTGTATTTTTTTTATGTTTTATTGCATTTCATTGTGGTGTGTTTTCCTTACACTGTTGGTGCATATTGTTAACATTGTTGGTATATTCTGAAATTCCGCTGCACCGCCGCACGGGAAGACCCCGCCGCATTTGAACTTTCTTCTATATATATATATATATATATATATATATATATATATATATATATATATATATATATATATATATATATACATATATAGGGAAGGGATCAGATGCGGGTGGTACTTTCCGTGCAGTTGTGCGGGTGGACTCACATTAAGAATTACATTGGCGCACTTTAAGAACACAACAGACGCATATTAAACACACAAACAAAATACATTCAAAACACAAACTCACGCACCTTAAGCACGAAACTCACGCATCTTAAGCACAACCCTCACGCACCTTAAGCACAAAACTCACGCACCTTAAAGCACAAAAACACACGAACCTTAAATTTTAACAACAACTCACATTAAGTACACACTCACGCACATTAAGTACAAAACTCATGCACCTTAAGCACAAGACTCACGCACATTAAGCACAAAACTCATGCACATTAAGCTCAAACTTGAAAATCGAAATCGGAATAAGAATCAGAAACTTGTTAATTGGGATTAGTTTTGGTAAAAGTAGTTTGCATATTTGGTAATAGGGTGGAATTAGAATGATTATCAATATTGATGTTTGGTTATATATATATATATATATATATATATATATATATATATATATATATATATATATATATATATATATATATATATATATGTTTAAATGCGGCGAGGCATTTAGGTGCGGAGGTGCAACGGAATTTCAGAATACACCAACAATGTTAACAACGTGCACCAACAGTGTAAGAGAAATACACCACATTGAAATGTAAAAAAACACCAAAAAATACACAATAGACTCAAAATATATATATATATATCATATAACTCACCACCCTCAATGATGTATTTTCGAACACTGTATGGTGTTTTTAATCACACATAATTGTGTGTTTTTGTAATGCATACCTAATTTGTGTGTATTTTTGTGGTGTATTTTCTAACGTTGATGGTGTATATTTGATGAACTATTGGTGTCGCCACACTGTAAGACACCGCCGCACTTGAACCTTCCTCTCTCTCTCTCTCTCTCTCTCTCTCTCTATATATATATATATATATATATATATATATATATATATATATATATATATATATATATATATATATGACCCACTAATCTGAATAAAGGTTATAAAATTAAAAAATAATAATAATAAATAAAAAATCAAGGCAATTAATCTTTAAATTGTTGATGAAGTGAGTACGCAATGAAATGAGGAAGTCAATGTAGTAAGAAGAGATGAGTGAGGAGCCGAGGATGCGATAAAATAAGTATGGATAATGCTGAATTAATGGATGATATCTAATTTAAATTAGGTAATGAGTTTTGTAAATATAAGGATAATCAAAATTTATACATGTGTTTTAAAAAATTATTAATCAAACAATATGTATAACTTTTATTCTCATTTCTGATTTATAACCCTCACACTCAGTGCGAATCCTTTAACAACAACATAATTTGAAACGAAACAGAAATCATTCGCGAAAGAAGAATATTCTGTCGGCGTAAAACCCATTACGAATGGAACTATGATCACATGTTTAAACAGGAAAATTAGAAAGAATCTTATTACTGAACATGGGTCTTACGTAGTGTATTCTGTGTCTACGGGGACAGCCCGTCTTTAGTCGTAAATGGGGAAACTGGGTATATGTTCCGTGACTTCCGTCCCTTCCTCTTTGTCGTTTTCCTTGTTAAGTGATTTTTTGTTTACTCACACACTGTACTAAACTACATGCCTCCATACTTGATACTTAGCTTCTATATGTAACCCAAGATTCGAAATCCGCGCCATCTCCTTCGTACTTATCTTCTTTCTTTTTTTTTTTTTTTTTGAAAGCTCATACTTGATACTTAGCTTCTATATATAACGCAATACATTAAATATTAAAATTAAAATTTGAAAAAACTAAGGTTCAATCCCCTATCGAATCTTTCTTTTGTACCAAATTAATAGGAGAATATAATGGATTTTAAATATTAAGTGTGTTTTTTTTAGTACTACCGACTCTATTACAATATAATATATATATATATATCTATACATACTTTATCAACCTATAGAATCACAAACAGTCCATTGGAGTTTTAACTTGTGACTTCTCATTTATGGTACCATATAGTGTAATGTTATAGTTAAAATAACAAATAAAAAAACTTGACATTATAAAATATTTTTTAAAAAAATTAATTATATGCAGTTAATTCTTATTTTAATAATTTATACATGTAAAATCAATACACCAAAATATTATATATAGTGGGTATACTATTTTTTTTAGAATAGTGGGTATACAATTTTTATGTACTCTAAATTTAACAAAAATTTATATATATAAGATAATGAGTTGGAAAATGAAGGGAAAAAGTGAGCTTTGTCCCACATTGGTTTGGAAAGATGATTTGCCCCCCTTTTATACAAGAGCTCTTTTGGAGCTTGTAGAATTGTATAGCATAGAGGCTCTCTCGCGCGTGCGCGGGGGGTGCAAATCAAATTCCAACTAGAAACGAGATTGAAAAGGCTTGATTCAAGCCCGAGCTCGTGTGCGCTGGGAAACCTAGAGCAAATAAGGTTTTGAGATTTTTTCAGCTTATTACCCAACAGACTATGAGTAAAATTTTTCCACCTTATTACCCAACAGACTAATGAGGGAAAAGGATGGGAACTTTGGGATGGAAAACCTAAAAGAAGTCCTTTAATTTCATGAATAGCTGCAAACCTCAATTGTTGATTATTATTTTAGTATTTTACAATATACGATTTATTAAAAAAAAAAAAAAAAAAAAAAAAAAAAAAAACGATGACAGACAGAACCGCACCAATTTCGTTATGGCGGACAATTATATACTTCAATTATGGATGTGTCAAATCTCAATTATTATTTATAAAATACAAAAAAATCGAATATTGTAAGCGTTGGTAACGTCATTTCTTCTCTCTTTTTTTTCCCCAATTCCTCATGCCTCCTATGGAAGAAACTGACTTTTCTTGTTGTAATTGGACGCCGGCAATTGCTGATGCGTTACATCTATACTACCAAAACAAAAAAGAAATTAATGTGATAGCAAATATATATTTACTTTAATTAATGTCGTTTTCTTTCTTAATTATATTACAGGTTTCAATTATGCTAATTTCATTGTTTTGGGAGGTGAGTTTCAACTATGCTAATTTCGTTATTTTGGGAGGTGAGTTTCAACTATGATAATTTTTTTGTTGTGAGCAAAATTGTATTGTGGGTGGCTTGAATGGCAGGAAGCTCAATCATTATTGCGTGGACCATGGTTCACATAATTGTGTGGACCATAAATAAAAAATATATTTTTAATATACTAATGGTACATTATTGAGTTAATACCTCCAATGGTCCTCCGAGTATTAGCAATTTACCAGTTGTGGTTATCCGAGTTTTAAATGACCTACAATGGTCCTTCATGTTTTAAAAAATAATCACTCGTAGTCCTTTTAGGACGTCTCGTGGTCATTTTAAACTCGGGTTTTTTTAAGAATTAGGATCATGGGTGGTTATTTTTTAAAACATGGAGGACCATTGTAGGTCATTTAAAACACGGATGACCACAGCTGGTAAATTGCTAATACTCGGAGGACCATTGGAGGTATTAACTCGTACATTATTTATGTACGTAAGGTAAATTTTTTGAAAGTACATTTTTAATACACTAAGGGTACATTATTTTATATAATGTACCTTCAGTACAAAAATAATGTACCTTCAGTATAAAAATAATGTACTTTTAATATATTAAAAATGTACATGATATTCATGGTCCACACAATAATTTGCCCCGCTTGCACCATGCGTTTTTTGTTTTGTTTTGTTTTTTTTTTTAATGATCATATTGTAACGAAATAATCCTGATTATTTATGGAAAGATACAAGCACAAGTAACAAAAAGGTTTAGGGTTTAGTACGAGTCAAGCAAAATACTCTTTTTTTAAAACCTTACATGTTACATCCCAAAGGTGCTAGGAGGATTGTAACATAAGTTTTTCAGGATAAAACGTATTACGATTCAATGTTTGAGCATTCATACAAGTGAGCCCGCCGAACTAGAACACGGGTAGAACTAAGAGATTTGTGAAGGAAGTTGAGCAGAGTTTTGTAATAGCAAAAACATAGGCAAAAAGATTTTGTGTAAAATTTGCTGCTCAACCATGGTATATATAAGAGAAGGCCGGATTGTTAAATAACATTTATCATGACATTAAAACTGATAATAAAATCAGTCTGTGTAACCTTCATAACAGACAACCATTACTTTGGAAATTAATTCAAGATTTTAAAATTAGAATTAATTACGTAACATCAGAATTAATACATAGAACGACTTGGAAGTGTGGTTCAAATCGTGAGTAGTTCGAAAGGTAACTACTCCGAATGGTACTAGTTCGAATCGTGAGTAGTTCGAAAGGTAACTATTCTGAATGGTACCTTCTAGTACCTGGAAGGGAGAAACCCAGTTTAATTGGATAGTAATTCCTCGTACCGATACCTTCGATACCCACGACATTCGTGTCCATTCCTCCTATCGAGTAGTACAAGTCCAAAACATTAACTTAGCCGACGACATTCGTGCCCGCAAGTGCTGGCATACATGAGTCAAGCCTTTTTTAAACTCATTCTGGGATTTGATTTGCACCCTCCTGTGCGTGAGAGAGAGCCTCTATGTTATACAATTCAACCACCTTCTAAAAGGCTCTTGTATATATAGTGGTGCAAATCTCCTTGCTTTTCCAATATGGGACCAGTGCTTGTTTCAAGCCTTTCCACTTATATTTTCCAACTTAAATGGGTCTATTTTGAGAATCAATTTCTCATTCACCTATTATCCATTTTGAGCGTACAATTTATTAATCTCTTCGTCTCACTTATGTGAGCCTAATTGTGCATATTTCTAGTATTGATTTAATTACATTTGATAGGCTTAAGTTCATAATTTTGGTAATTTAATTGCATAATCCTTTATTTTATTATTTAGTTATGGTTCACACTTGTTTTGAATGTTTTATGGTGTTTGTTAGTGTTTTTGAACCATTGTAGGTCAAAGTTATGAGGAAGGGAAGTCCTAGGACAAATTTGGATGATGTGAGTCTAATTGTGCATATTTTTAGTATTGATTTAATTATATTTGTTAGGCTTAGGTCCATAATTTTGGTATTTAATTGATTGCATAATCCTTTATTTTATTATTTAGTTATGGTTCACACTCGTTTTGAATGTTTTACGGTGTTTGTTAGTGTTTTTGAACCATTATAGGTCAATTTTATGAGCAAGGGAGGTTCTAAACTAGGAACCGCAGCTCACAGGCCATCAGCTAAAGCTAACTACTATCTAAACTAGGAACCGCAGCTCCGACTAGCGAGCTCACGAGCCAACTAATCTGTACCTGAAAAACATGTAGTGTAGCAACCGTTAGCGAATAATGCTAAGTAACCCACTCCCACTCGTTGAGTACAATAAGTATAAATATAGGAAAACAATTTTGAGACTTGGGAATACGTAGATATAGTCCTAGGATACTCTAGCTTTAAAATCAGGATCATGACTCATGACATATCATAGATACCGACACGTTAAGACCACATCAAGGTGTAAGCATGCAAACTATGACTATAAGACAAGACAATGATAAGAGACACATAACAGACTCTGATCACAAGGCAAGGCAACAATAACAGACAACAATAATATCACATAACAAGACACGCCCATGTTCTAACCTTATACCAAGTTCCAACCTTTATGCCTCTCCAACCTTATATCAATTCCAACATGTACTTCCAGACCACCCTGTACTCCGTCAGCCTTATCCCTCCGGAGCAGAGCTCCCCTCCAACATGACCTCCAACATACCACCGATCTCTCAGCACATGCACTGCCATTACATAACATGATTTTACCGCAGTACGATAATCAAGCACTCGCAGTGCACATAACATAACATGATCGCACCGCGGCACAATAATCAATGCACACACAGTGCACATAACATAAGCACGCGCAGTGCATCATACCTCTAACATATCTTTTCCACCAATCTCATATCTTTTCATCACCATGGGCAACAACACCACAATCAAGACTCAACAACAACCTCATCAAGGAGTAACCAGGAAAGGAAAACAATCATGTGAAGGGACTCACAACGACATGAGACATCAATCTAAGCATACGACCTACGGGGAATAACATAAACCATACTTTGGACCCACACAATACAAGTTTAGACCTCATTCATAAACACGACTCACAAAATGCCATTTACGGTACTTAAGACATCATACTAGACTCACAAACATCAAGCGAGATACAACGGGGCACGGGAAAACGACCAAAGGGGACCAACAAAGCACCCCACCGCCCATACCAGCGGGCGGTACGGCGGGAGGACAACCTCCCGCTGGACTGCCCGCACCACTGTTCCAGCGGGCATTCCGGTGGGTGGTCGTCCACCCGCTGGAACGGCGGCCTTTTTCCAACGGGTGGTCGAGTGGGAGTTCGTTCCCCCCACTGACTACCCGCTGGAACGTTACTCCTTGGCATAATTTTTTCTTCGGGAATTCATCAATTTTACCCAAAATCAAGTCCAAACGCACATCAACAACAATAGGGACTTGAACACATAGAATAAATCAAGGACTAACACAATTGAACCCTAAACACGAGCTCTAAACGTGCTTAAACACAAGAACATGCATATAAACACTTACGAATATCAAGAAAATCAAGATTATCAAGAAACCACAATATAAACCCTAAGACAAGCGCTATTAACGCATAATTACAAGATCACACATACAATCACTCAAAGGAGTCAATAAATAAAAGATAGCAAGGAAAATAGGTTTTGTAAGACATGGTTACCTCTTAGCTTTAATTAAATCTCTCACATCTCCTAAGATCCTTCTTCAAGATTTTTCTCCGATCTTTCCTAAGCTTAACGATGGGGAATCTTTGGCTAAGTTTCTTGGAGAATTTCGAGTAGTAGAGATATGGGTGGAAAGGGTTCTAAATGCTTTCTAACCCCCTTTATATAGTTTTAGGAATGAATAGTAAAGACCCACTTCTTTTATTTTAACAGACTTAAAGGCCTTTAATATAGGTAAGGGTCCACGATCCTCCGTGGATCACATTAATTAATTAAGGGATCTGGCCAAATTAAATCCTCTTTAACCATTCTCGGTGGGATAATTAAATAATTAATCTAGATTTAAAGGGTAAAACACGGGGTGTTACAATAGTGTCCTGTGGAATGTCATTTATGCAATTAGGAGGTTGAGTCTGCGTTGCATTTTTTCTTTCAATGTCGAGTCGCAAAATAATGTTGGCAAAAGGTGGGTGTGAGTATGGCTAACGTGGAGTGTCAGGCGCTGAATATAGGGATAAACTATATTGTTGAGAACTTTGCGGCTGACCTACAGTGTTTTGTGGTTATGGTTTGCTTGAGTTTATGGCAATGTAGAAATGAGGCCATGTGGAGAGGTGGTGTGGTAGCAGTAGAGACGGTGGTAAGTATGGCGCAGGCTGTGTGGCAAGGGTGGCGACAGGCTAATGGCTTGGAGGAGGTGGTGGACCGGAGCAGGGAATCAGCATCGTAGAGGTGGTGTCGCCCGGCGCATGGGCGGTGGAAGGTGAATGTGGATGCGGTGTACGTGGCCAGTACTAGGACTGGGGTTGGTATGATCGTAAGGGATTCTGGGGGTTGTTTTGTTGTAGTTAAGGCTATTCCGGGCTTGTGTACGACGTCGGCTAGAGAGGCGAAGGCGGTGGGTGCCCAGGAGGCTTTGAGTTGGCTAATGGAGATGGGAATGGCAAGCGTGGATGTGGAGAGATGGATGTCTAGGAGGTTTTTTATGCTTTGCAGGGGACTGCTGGGGGTTCTGATTTTGATTTGATTATAGATGATGTTAAAGATGTCGCAGTCACTATTGATGAGCTGTGTTTCAATTCTGTTAAGCGATCAGCGAACCGTGCTGCCCATTTGATTGCTAGGGAGGTTAGTTCTTTGTCTGATTGCCACTATTTGCTTTCTTATCCGCCATTGTTTATTTTGGATATTTTGCATGCTGATAATGAGAATTAAGTACTTGTTTTGTTAAAAAAAAAAAAAAAAACAGTTTATGTTAATGTTCTTGTCAGTGACCTTGAACCGCCAATTCTAAATCATAAATTGAACTAAATGGAGTCGCGGCTACCTCTACTCTAGTAGAGCTACTAGAAGATGCTAAGTCCAATCTCGTAAATACTTTGAAGAGTTAATTCCATTTTTGTCATTCTTCCAAAAGGTTGAACCCCAACCGTAAGGGCCCCTCCGACCGGTGCTCACTGCGCACAAGGAACCCCCTCACTTTGAGAGGAACCCCCCCACTGCCGCTGGTGAAACTCGATCTCCGGTCATTCTTTCAAAGTTTCACCTCTATGACGTTGAGCTACTCATGCGGGCAAATATTTATAGGTGGCAAATCACTTTAAGTACTTTTTTATTAAAATATCCATTTTTAGTCCTAGTATTATTGTGTCATGATCATTTTTTGCCTTTTATCAAACTGTTTAAATATCATTAAATACAATGACATTTTGATCTTCAATTATGTAACTTTTCAAAAAATAAACATAAAAAATATAGCAGCTCAACCTAATTTGTATAAAAATGATTGAAATGTCTTTGTATTTAACAATATTTCAACAATTTTGTCAAGGAAGGCTAAAAATGGTCATGCCACAATAATATTAGGACTAAATGAGGATGTTCTAATAAAAAATGACTAGTGGACTATCACCCATTTACTTTGAAATTAGCTCTTATCGTTTGACTAGTATTTTATATCTTATATGTAACTAGTAATTCACCCGCTGGGGAAAATTTATGTTATTATAAATATAAATAAAAATAGAAAAAATAAAAATATTTTAAATTGTTTAATATAATAATATTTTTGAGCTTCCATTGGTCAAGTATTTATTATTTTTATAGAATACAAAATTATAATTAAAATTTTGTATGGTTAGTATAATCTCTAATTATGTACATATTCAAATAAACTTATAGAGAGAATTTACATAATTACATTGATTTATTCTTAATTGTATTTCATCTATATTATAATTTTCACAATATGAATAATAACTAAGATAATTACATTTAGAAAGCAAATTTCAAATTTTGAATGAGTAAATTTAAACTCTAATTGAACACATTGTTTTATATGATTATATAATATATATTCTTTATGCACATGACATTCCATAAACTCAAATGTCATTTTATAAGTCCAAGACCACTTTTTGTGGAGATAATTCAAATGTATTTTTTTTTTCTTTTAAAAATCCTAAGTTTAGACATTCATAAAAACATTAAAGACCCATACGATATATACATTTATATATATTTAAATTTTTATTTATGGCTTAAATGATTTTTTTTTTTAATTATGAAGTCCAATAATTGACCCACGGCCCGCAACATTTGCTTTCTTCATCCCTTCTCGCTTCTGCCATTTCTTTGAAGCATTTGAGATGGAGAAAAATTATATGTAGAGGCTTGCATTAATTGCACTATTTCAGATATTGAACAGGCTTTCATCAAAAATTTAATTAATATTGTAATCACAAGAACCACCATAAATAACAAAAGCATATCAAATAGAATTTCATTGTAAAGCCAAAGATTTAACTAATATTGCATCGTTTCATATTTTCTATTAATCGGGAATCGGAATCCTTAATCCTAATACCATAACATTTAATAACTCCATTAATTTAATAAATGTAATCCTTTGTTATGGGCGAGAAAAAAAAATAACTATTTTATTTTTCAAATGTTGTGTTTCTTTTTTTTTTTTTTTTTTAATAGTAAAAGATGTTGTGGCTATTTTATATTTATAGCTAGTAATAATAATAATAATGTTGGTAATTAATTATAACATTAATTATTTTCCAATCATATTGCTTTATTATATGTAAGATGCGCAAAATATATGTCAAATATTAATACTTAATGTTAGCTTTTTAATTATAGTAAAATATATTTTTTAAAACAATAGTATATAATTTTTTTTTTTTAATTCATAGTTGTAGAATTCATATTATATTAAATGCATAATTGATCATTTGAGTAATAATTATGGTATGATTAATATTATTAAAGTAAGAATTTTATATATATATATATATATATATATATATATATATATATATATATATATATATATATATATATAGATATATATTAGCGAAAATAGGAATTTATTTACGAAAAATAATCTCAACTAAATTAGAACAAAATTGTCAAGCACTTTGTACTCAGATGGCATGTAGTGAATCTCCCATATGAGAGGTTATGAGATCGAACCTCAATGGAGGCGGTGTTGGCTCTTTGTGCTTCAATCGGTCGAGAAAGTATAGATGAACAGATACTACAATGTAATAAAGTTAGTAGCATCTAAAAAAAGAAAAAAAAAGAAAAAAAAAAACACTTCAACTTACACTAATGCACGCGAGATAGTGGTGCAAACCTACCAATGTGGGACAAGTGCTTTTACAAAGCATTTTGCATTTTTTCTTCATTTTCCAACTCAAACTACTTTGAGAATCAATTTCTCATTCACTCATTATTCGTTTTAATTTGAGCGTACAATATATCAATCTATTCGTCGAACTGCGAAGAATTTGAATTCAATTTAGCCTGATCCAAATCGAAAGTGAATCCCATATATATTTGTACCATAAAATAACCACTTTCTATGTCATTTTATGCTCTATTATTTGTACCATAAAATAACCACTTTCTTTGTTTTATTATTTTATACTCAGTATTTGTACCTAAACACTCATAAAACTAAAATTACAAACACTTCCGGTCATTTTTTCTCTTGCAATAAATTATTTGCATACAAAAGTAAACTAGTACTATGAACTTGATAAACTATTCAATATTTGTTTGATGACCTTTTAAAATGAAAAATAAAAAAGAAAAATAATATTTAAACATAAAATGCAAGTGAAAAAAAAAAATAAGTCTGAAGTAATAAGAATAACAACTTTTACATTCTAACATTTTCTTAGTCGAGTTAGTCGCATATGATTTTTCTAATGTGATTTACTTTTTCTTGTGTAATTTGCAAGCTAGTACTCCCAAGTTATATTTTTTAATTTTGCACTTTTTCTTTAATTTTATTTTTAGTAATGAGAGAAATCCATAACTATTACATATGTGTATCCATTAAGTAAACCCCGCTCTGGTGTAGCATCCCACAAACCTAACAAGAAAAACAAATTGCACTAGGAAGACTCTATGTGACTGATTCGATCAAGAAGGTGTTGACTTTATGAACAGATACTGCATTGTAATAGAGTCACTAGTATTCAAAAAAAAAAATGTTGACAAAAATCAAATTCATGACTTTCAAGTATGAGAATCATGCTTTACTCGCATGGATGGTTATCTTGATGAGAATATATTTTCTGTTGGGAAGAAGACATCCAAAGAGTGTGTTTTAGCAAATAAGCTTGTCCCACATTGGTTTCCCAAGAGGATATTTCCCACTATTTCACTACCAACCCAAATGGGTCCTTTGAAGTGTTTTCTAGAGAGAGGAAAGGGGGAGCCTCGCGCGCGTTGCCGCCGCCGCCCGCTCGGCTCGGCTCGCACGCGGGGTGTGGTGGGGCCAAAGTTTTATTCTTTGTCCCAATTTTTTACTCTTGAATCAGTCTTCTAGTCCGATTTTTGCGCTCAGGAAACGTTCTTGTGGACAGGAGCAATTCGAGCTGCGTAGTGGCTGGTTTCTGCGCTAGCTATCCTCTCTTTGCGTTCTTAATTGTGGTAGTAGTGGGAAGGCAGTTATTATAAACTAGTATAAATACCCAGCCTTCCCATACCGCAAATGCATTCAGCAACTACGCTATTACGTATACTCTGTGCAACCTATACGTGAGTATCCTCTGTGTTTGCTGGTCGAAAGCCCCGGATATAAAAGATTCGCACGGTCTCCGGAATTAGCTTTTAAGGCAGTGTGTCTATACACACGTCACAGAAATTAAACAAATAACCCTTCGTTAAATATTATATCTGAAACACTCCCAAAACACAACAGTTAAAAGCTAATCCCTCCGTACCAAAAATCAATATGTCTACCTTCGTCGCCAAAGCTGCTGTTGACCTCACGAAGATCGAACCCCTCAACGGGCTCAACTACCGCAGGTGGGCGGTGAAGCTAATGATCCATTTCGAAGCCCTCGAAATTGACTATGTCGTCCTCAACGGTCCACCGGTGAACCTGGTAGAAGCTGTCCTGCCTGCATAACCAGCCACGACTGATGATGAGCAGTCAGACAATGCAGTCACTGAACAGAATGCAGCAGCAGCAGATCCGAAGACGCCACTTTCGTCCAAGACAGACGATCGAACCCAAGACACTCGTACCAAGTACGAGCGCGATAATAAAACGGTAAGGGGTATTCTGCTTCATTATATGTCCGATGCACTACTGGACATTTATGCCAGCCACAAGTGTGCCAAAACCATATGGGATTTACTGCGAAAGAAGTACGGCTCAGACGACGCAGGGCGGAAGAAATATGCCGTTGCCCGCTGGTTGAACTACAAAATGATGGATGGTAAGCCAGTCATTGATCAAGTGCATGAGTATGAAAATTTGGTTGGAGATCTAATCACCGAAGGTATACCTGTAAGTGACGCCCTTCAAACTTATTCTCTTCTTGAAAAATTACCAGAATCCTGGTCAGGATTCCAAAATAAAATGAAACACGAGCCTAAGGAATGTACGTGGGAAGAAATGGTAAACCATATCAATATTGAGGAGGCATTTCGCCTCAGGCAGAGCTCAATTTCTTTTTCTGAAAAAATGAAGGCTAATGTAATAGAAACGAGTGACAGGTCTAAAAATGGAAATGCTGGCCAAAATAAAACCTGGAAAAAGAATGTGAAAGTCAATAACACCAACAACTTCAAAGCGAATAATAATCACAAAGCAGGTAAAGGGGGACCATGCTACGTCTGCGGGAAGCATGGTCACCGGGCAGCACAGTGCTACTACAAGAAAGGAGGAAATGACCCGAAGGGAAATCAAGGCGGACCCAAGAATCAAGCCAATGTGGTGGAAGAAAGTGAAGTGGTAGCAGCAGTAATAACGCTAGAAGCAAACATAGTAGAAGATTCCAAAGAATGGGTCGTGGACACCGGAGCTTCACGTCATTTCTGCTCAAATAAAGGCCTCTTCAAGAACTTCCAGGCAATTGCTCAAGGACAAGGTGATCAAGTCTACATGGGAAATGATAGCATGGCTGAGGTAAGAGGTAGTGGTAGTGTAGAAATAAAGCTGTGCTCTGGCAAAAATTTACTATTGAGCAATGTAATGTATGTACCCACTCTGCGTAGAAACTTGGTCTCGGGGCCGCTGTTGGTCAGAGCCGGGATCAAGTTGGTGTTTGAATTTGAAAAAATGATCATGAGTCGCAGGGGGGAATACTTGGGAAAAGGGTATTTGCGTGGGGGGCTGTTTGTGTTGCCTCTCATTGCATTTACCAACGAGAACATTACAAATAATGCGAATAAAGTAAATAACGTGGCCAGTGGTTCTGGCAATTCTGCTTATATTGCTATCTCATTTGATATGTGGCATGCTAGGTTAGGACACATAGGCGTTAAATGCATGAATAGATTAAAAAATATGAATTTATTGCATAATGTGTCAAGTGAAAATGGAACTAAATGCGAAACTTGCGTCGAGGCAAAGTTTACGAAAAAACCATTCTCATTAGCTCAACATAATTCAAAGTGTGCATTAGACTTAATTCATTCGGATATAGCAGATTTTAGAAATACTGAATCTAAATGTGGGAAAAGGTATTACATATCTTTTATAGATGACTTTACTCGATTTTCTAAAATTTATCTGCTAAGAACTAAAGATGAAGCCGAAGAAAAATTCGTGATTTTCAAAAATGAAGTAGAAAATCAATTAAGTCTAAAAATTAAGAGATTACGTTCAGACAGGGGGGGGGGGGGTGAATATGAGTCCTTGTCTTTTAAATCTCTTTGTGAAAAACATGGAATTATCCATGAAGTAACTGCACCATACACCCCTCAACAGAATGGTGTAGCCGAAAGGAAAAATCGGACTTTAAAAGAGATGATAAACGCTTTCTTAATAAGCTCAGGTGCCCCTAACGCACTGTGGGGGGAAGCTGCACTTACAGCTAATCATATCCTAAATAGGATACCTCATAAAGGGTACGAAAAAACACCCTATGAGATGTGGAAAGGATACACTCCAAATTTGAAATATTTCAGAGTGTGGGGGTGTTTGGCAAAGGTTGGGCTGCCTTCCTTTAAAAGGCCTAATCTTGGGCCGAAGACTGCAGATGCAGTCTTTGTTGGGTATGCAGAAAATAGTGCTGCATACCGGTTTATGTACTTAGACAGTCGGTCTATGTGTGAAGCAAGGGAAGCTGAGTTTTTTGAAAACGTCTTTCCCTTGAAGTCTCCTAATAGCTCTCAAAGGGACGAACCAACCTTGTTCCCACCCTCACAGAGTGAGTATGAGCCTGATCAGCTCAGAAGAAGCAAGAGACAACGAACTGAAACAAGCTTTGGTTCAGACTTTATCACATACATAACTGAATTAAAAGATATAAATGAGTTATCTGAACAGTTTGTATGTCAATTAATCCTCGAGGAGGAGCCAAAAACGTTCGAGGCAGCTATGCGCTCGGTTGATGCTGTCTTCTGGAAAGAGGCTGTCCAGAGTGAACTAGACTCAATAAAGTCTAATCACACGTGGGAGCTAGTAGAGCTTCCAAAAGGAGCAAAACCTATTGGTTGCAAGTGGATTTTCAAAAGAAAATTAAGACCAGATGGGTCAATAGAGAGATTCAAGGCAAGACTCGTAGCAAAAGGTTATAAACAGAAGTTTGGAGAAGACTACTTCTGTACCTACTCGCCTGTGACAAAAATAGCTACAATACGAGTGCTATTTGCGCTGGCAGCAGCGCACAAATGGACAGTCCACCAAATGGACGTCAAGACAGCTTTCCTAAATGGAGATCTGGAGGAAGAGATCTACATGGAACAACCGTCTGGGTGTGTAGACCCAGGACAAGAAGGAAAGGTGTGTAGACTCATAAAGTCCCTTTATGGACTAAAACAAGCCCCTAAACAATGGAATGAAAAATTTCATACAACAATAATGGAATTGGGGTACACAGTCAATAGATCAGATGCATGCCTATACTCAAAACAGTTTGAGTCAAGCATGGTACTCATCTGCATCTATGTAGATGACATGCTAATCTTCAGCCCTAATGTCAGTGCAATAATAGAGACAAAAAGGTCCCTATGTGAGAAATTTGACATGAAGGACTTGGGGGAGGCCGATGTGATACTTGGGGTGAAAGTTATCCAGAGTGGGAGTAACTACAAGTTATCACAGAGTCACTATACAGAAAAGCTGTTAAGAAAGTTCAACAGCTTTGAAGTGACTCCGGCTCCAACTCCTTATGACTCCAGTGTCAAGCTGACGAAACACACTGGAACAGGGGTAGCACAAGAAGACTATGCAAAGCTCATAGTGAGTCTGATGTTCTTAATGAACTACACCAGACCTGATATTGCCCTAGCAGTAAACCGACTCAGTCGTTACACACACAACCCAAGTGAAGCACATTGGCATGCACTAAAACGTATGTTGCGCTACCTGAGAGGTACAGTCGAGTGGGGGCTTAACTACACTGGGTTTCCAAATGTCCTAGAAGGATACTGTGACGCAAACTGGGTCAATGACAGTGATGATGTCAGCTCCACCAGTGGATATGTTTTCACCATGGGTGGAGCAGCTGTATCCTGGAAATCAACCAAACAGTCCTGCATAGCCAGATCAACAATGGAAGCTGAGTTCATAGCTCTTGATCTGGCTGGCCAAGAGTCTGAATGGTTAAGAAACCTACTGGCAGACATGCCGCTGTGGGGGAATTCCACTCCGTCAATCCATATACACTGTGACTCACAAACTGCTATCTGTGTAGCGAAGAACAGCGTATATAACGGAAAGAGGAGACACATAAGAGTCAGACATGAGTCTGTACGACAGTTAATAGTGAATGGGGTAATCACCCTAGAGTATGTGAAATCTGAGAAAAACATCGCAGACCCTCTAACGAAAGGGTTGAACAGGAAAGCCATCCTCGATACATCGAGGGAAATGGGGTTAAAATAATCGAGAAACCCTAAAGTGTCCAGCTGGGGCTAACACATAAGTGTGCGATAAAGCTGATGTGTGCACCAGAGTTCAAAACCACCCACTTCTCAGTGAGTTCAAGACTCAGTTCACTCCTGAGAAGTAAGTTACTCAGGTCACTACGTGTCAGTTCAAGTTCTACACTGGCATTAAGGTCAGCAAGCATCGCAATAACCACACTCCTTGTATGTGTGGGGGATTGTTGGGAAGAAGACATCCAAAGAGTGTGTTTTAGCAAATAAGCTTGTCCCACATTGGTTTCCCAAGAGGATATTTCCCACTATTTCACTACCAACCCAAATGGGTCCTTTGAAGTGTTTTCTAGAGAGAGGAAAGGGGGAGCCTCGCGCGCGCCGCCGCCGCCGCCCGCCCGGCTCGGTTCGGTTCGCACGCGCGGTGTGGCCAAAGTTTTATTCTTTGTCCAAATTTTTTACTCTTGAATCAGTCTTCTAGTCCGATTTTTGCGCTCAGGAAACGTTCTTGTGGACAGGAGCAATTCGAGCTGCGTAGTGGCTGGTTTCTGCGCTAGCTATCCTCTCTTTGCGTTCTTAATTGTGGTAGTAGTGGGAAGGCAGTTATTATAAACTAGTATAAATACCCAGCCTTCCCATACCGCAAATGCATTCAGCAACTACGCTATTACGTATACTCTGTGCAACCTATACGTGAGTATCCTCTGTGTTTGCTGGTCGAAAGCCCTGGATATAAAAGACTCGCACGGTCTCCGGAATTAGCTTTTAAGGCAGTGTGTCTATACACACGTCACAGAAATTAAACAAATAACCCTTCGTTAAATATTATATCTGAAACACTCCCAAAACACAACATTTTCTGTATTTAATGAATAATGTCTGAGAGTACAGAGAGCGAATATATAGAGATGCTAGATAGAATCCTAGTCTAACATGAATAATATAGTCCTAGTCTAATATGAATAATAGAGTCCTAATACTCCCCCTCAAGCACAAGTTTGGTCAGCCAAAACATTGAGCTTGGAACGGAGTAAATTAAAACGTACAGACGAAAGAAACTTAGTAAAAATATCCGCTATCTGATCTTTAGTAGAAATAAAATTGACTTGTAATTCCTTCTTTGCTACTTTATCACGAACAAATTGGTAGTCGATCTCAATGTGTTTGGTGGGAGCATGAAACACCGGATTAGCACATAGATAAGTAGCACCCAGATTATCACACCAGAGTTTGGGCGCAGAAGGTGGCGCAAACCCGAGTTCCTTCATCAGAGAGACAAGCCAAGTAACCTCTGCAGAAACATCAGCCAGTCCTTTGTATTCTGCCTCAGTTGAGGAACAAGCCACAGTACGCTGCTTTCGACAAACCCATGAGACAAGATTGGTCCCCAAAAACACAGCAAAACCACTAGTAGATTTTCGATCATCAGGATTGTCAGCCCAATCCGAATCAAAATATGCATGAATATCCAGAGAGGAAGAATGAGTAATTTTAAGACCGAGATGTAGTGTCCCATTTACATACCGTAACACCCTTTTGAGATCCGCCCAATCTGCAGTAGAGGGAAAGTGCATGTGCTGACATAAACGATTGACTGCATAGGAGAGATCAGGACGAGTTACCGTAAGATATTACAGAGCACCTGCAAAGCTGCGATACTGAGTGGGATCAGCATATGGCACCATGGCACCGGTCTCAGCCTTCGCGGTTGAAACCGGGGTGGCCACAGGCTTGCAATCAACCATACCTGCTCGTTTTAAAATATCCTTCATGTACCGTTGTTGAGACAGAAGCATGCCACCAGACAATGGAATAGTCTCAATACCTAGAAAAAACGAGGGCACTCCCATATCACGAACTTTAAATTCAAGAGCCAGCTTGCCAATAAGATCAGTCACAAGAGCCGAATCAGAACCCATGACTAAAATATCATCCACATAGACCAGAAAATATAGACGAGTATTGCCACGTGAATATATAAATAAAGAGACATCAGTTTTGGAAGGTGAGAAACCAACAGAAACCAGAAAATCATGCAAATGAGTGAACCAGGCGCGGGGAGCTTGTTTAAGCCCATACAAAGAACGTTGAAGGAGACAAACGTGCCCGGACATCGTTTTGTCTTCATAGTCAGGGGGTTGGCGCATATAAACCGTCTCAGCAAGGTTGCCATTTAGGAAAGCATTGTGAATGTCTAACTGTCGAATAGTCCATCCACGAGAAATAGCTAAGGATAAGAGAAGTTGTACCGTAGTCGGTTTAACCACGGGACTAAAAGTCTCAAATAAATCCTCACCGGCAACCTGATTGAATCCCTTGGCATCTAATCAAGCCTTGTAACGCTTAACCGAACCATCAGTTTTTCTCTTGGTTCTAAATACCCACTTGCAGCCAACCACATTCATACCTGATTTAAAAGGAACGAGCCGCCATGTATTGTTGTGCACCAAGGCATTAAATTCCAAATCCATTGCATCCCGCCATTCGGAAATTTGACCGCTTGAGTAAAACATGTAGGCTCAGTAGTGACATCAGTGGATAGAGCAACATGATCATGCGGCCCCGAGCTCTGCGTATTCATCCCGTGAGACCGAACGGGTGAGGTAACGAGACGAGATCAACCACGGAGTCGACCTCTCGGCCGAGCAGGTGGCTGGTCCGTGATTGTCCGCTCGAACTCGGTCACGGACGACTCGGCAGAGGCGGGCTGATCGCGGTGCTGGTCGGACCTGGCTACGGGCACGGCAGGTTGATCATCTAAGGCCGAGATAGTACTCGGCTTACCACGAGACACAACCGACGCAACACCACATGGCTCCGGGCGTGGTGCGGGTACCTGCGAGTCAACAGAAGCAACAAAAGGAAAGACAGTCTCATCGAATCGCACATGGCGACAGATAAAAACCTTGTTAGTATTAGTGTCTAAACAACGATAGCCACAAAAAGATGGGGGATATCCTAAAAAGACACAAGGAGACGACCGAAATTGTAGTTTGTTGCGATTATAGGGACGCAGGTTAGGAAAACATAAACACCCAAAAACAAGCAAGTATGAATAAGAGGGAGGAGACCGATGCAAGAAATAATGAGGAGATTTATCAGATAAGACACGAGTGGGCATTTTATTAATGAGATACACAGCAGTTTCGAAGGCATAATCCCAGAAACGAGACGGAACAGAGGACTGGTGTGACACCCCGTAATCCAAAATCGATTAAGGGATTAATTAAGTAATTAATCCTAATTCAATTGCCATCTTAATTCCTAAAAATCTTGAAAATTCAATAGTCGGGGACTAGTAATTGACTAGTCAACCCCAAAGTCAAAGTTGTACCTTGAGCTTTGAGAGGAGTTCCCTTGTTCCCTTACACCTCTTCATTTTAGTAAGGGTATTCATGACATTTCACCTTGTGTTAGTAATGCAAGCTAACCTAGTAGACACTCCTCATTCTTTCTCCTTACACTTCCCAAATTAGAGCTCTACCTTCTCTCTAAAAGTTGGATAGCTTTTCTTCCAAGCCAAGTTGGAGCTTTGTCAAATCCTCAAGTGTTGTCTCCAAGATTCTACCTTTCATACCTTTGAGCATCTAGGAGGGTAAGATCTATGTTCATCTTGTGTTTTTAGTGTTTTCTAAGGTGTCTTTTCTTAAAGATAGAATCTTTATGATCTTTTGGTGTGTTCTTGAAGTGGGTTTGGAAGGTGAGCCTTAGTAGGAGCTTGGTGAAGTGTTAAGTGAAGGTTTTTGTCTACAAGAGGTAACACATGCTCTACAAAATCTATTTTGCTTACCTATATGATGATTTCTTGGATTCTACATGTGTTTTGCTATGAAATGTGAGTGTTTATGCATTGTCTTGTGAAAATGCATATCTAGAGCTTGTGTTTAGGGTTCTTGTATGTCATTGCTTGGCTATTCCTTTGATTCAAGTCATTTTGTTGTATTTGGTGAGATTTGGCATGTTTTGGACTTGAATTTGAGCTTGGTGTTGAAAATCCCCGAAGGGATTATTTTGGTGTACAGGTACGTACCCGCGGGCGGAACAACGGGTAGGCGTCCACCCGCCGCCCACCCGCGGGGTACAAGTTGGGCATGGGTGAGTACCCGCGGGCGGAACCACGGGTAGGGGTCTACCCGTGGGCCCACCCGCGAGGAACATGCTGGTGTTGTTGAGGGATTTGTTCCTCGTGATTCTTTTGACTCGGTATTTAGTCTTTTGACTTCCCGTTGTTCTTTTGTGGAACTATTTGAGCGTCTTCTTGATGTTTCGTATGTCTAGAACTATATGGTAGGATTCCATGTAGGTTTTGGTGTCTTGGATCGTGCTAAGTGTTCAACATTGTATTTTGTTGAACCGTGATGAGTCTTGTGTGTTCTTCAGAACTACGTTCGGTTTACCCGTTGGATAAGCATGGTAGTTCGGTGTTTAAATGCTAGCGTGTGTGTTGTTTGTACCTTCTTATTGTTGATGATAACTTGTGTTATTCATCGTTGTTGTTGGACTGTGATCCATTCCTTGATTGAGTATGGTTTCATATCTTCGTTGTGATCCGTTGATTGATTCCTGTTGAGGTGTGGTGTGTGTGGCTGTACCTGGATTGCACGATTAGTGGTATAGGACACTAGTACCAAGGTACGGCAGTGGTCCTCGTGGTGGCCATGACGTGATTATGGAGTTTGTGACCTTTGTGTAAGGTTCACGTATTTCTTGGGTGGCATGTGTTGCCGTGTGTGTGATCGGTACCCTCGTGTACTATGAAATCGGTGGTTCTGTCGGAGAGGGGACGACGGTCCTCGGAGGAAAAAGGTTGGACTTGGTGTACAGGGGTCCTGGAGGTAAAGGTTGGAACTAGACATAAGGTTGGGGGTAGCCATAAGGTTGGAACCGGGCATAAGGAAGGCATATCAATTCGTGATGAGTGATGTCACGAAGATTTGTATAGTCGTTGTTGTGAGTATCTCTTCTTGTGACGTGTGTAGTCACAAAGACATGTGTTGCCATTGGTTGTGTCCTTATTATCTTGAGTTATGCATGTCGGGTGTTAATCTACTGTGTGATGGTAGATTATGTCTTGAGCCTTCTTGTGAGTCGTTATTACATTTCGTGTCTTGCGATGTGTTCCCGTATTGTTGATTGTAAGTGCTTAGAGTCTTGCGTTGACTTCTACTCTCGGTTTTGGAACTTATATATACATATTTCGTTTCGCAAATGATTTTACAAACGTATATCTTATCTATGTATGATAGTTCACATGTATTGGTGGGTTACCAGAGTTATTCGCTGACCGGGCGTCGTCCCATCTTTTATGTGTTTCTTTCAGGTGATGTTTAGACGAGACCGCGGTTTAGTGCCAGCTAGTGTAGCTCCTTTCTTGTGTTTTGTGGCCTGTGAGCCAAGTATAGACTTAGTACTTTGAACATTTATGGTTTTAGATGTTGAATTATGCAGTTGTTAGCATGTGCGTTCACCACTGGGTAAGCGTGGCATAGCACCCCTTTTACTTCCAGTTTATATATTCCTCTTTCAGTCTTCCGTTGTGTGTGATGTTTTATTTAGATATCTGCATATTTAAGGCTTTAAATAGCTTGGAAATTAGGAAGTGTTACAACTGGGCCATTAGCGCCAATCCTATTTCGACAACATGGCGATGCTTGCGTTCTACTCTGCCGTTTTGTTCATGAGTATACGCACAAGACTGCCTGTGACGAATACCCAACGACGCGAGAGTCGAACCAAGCTTTTTGTATTCTCCCCCTAAATAAAACTAAAAAGATAGAATTTTACGAGAGAATGAACGTTCAACAAGTGACCAAAACTTATCAAATATCGCATACAAATCAGACTTAGCCCGCATTGGATAATACCACATGTAACGAGTGTAATCATCCACAAATAATACAAAATATTTAAAGCCATTTGCAGAAAGTATCGGCGTAGGGCCCCAAATATCCGAATATATTAATTCTAAAGGATGCGAACTAGTAGATTCAACATGCGATAAAGGAAAACGAGACGACTTGTCCAATTGACAAGAGGAACAAATATTGGGTAGATCACTGGGATTAAAAGAACTAAGACTAGACGAGCCTAAAATTTGACGCAAGACCCGAGAGTGTGGATGCCCAAGCCGCATATGCCAAACAAAAGAGGATCGTGCAGCAACAAAAGCACGCGAGGTAGGCAGGCATATAAACCCCTAGACGCATGCCCCTTAAACAGAGTGTTCCTGGTTGTAATGTCCTTCACAAAAAAAACACAAAGGGTGAAACTCAAAAAAGACATTATTTTCTTTAGCAAAACGTTGAACAGATAATAACGAAGAAGATAAACCAAGAACATGCAAGACAACAGACATACGAAACGACCTAGAATCAGTGGCTAACGAAGTAGAACCAACAGTAACAATAGGCAAACATGTACCATTGTCGACCCGAAGTGTTTCCGGACCATCATACGTAGTAGAGGACGTCAATAAGGTGGGATCAGGAAAACCACTGATGAGATTCATCCATAGAACCTTCAACACCAGAAACGGCGACATTCGCCTGAGGATCCGGATCAGGAGTGAAACGATGCCAACATGTCATAGCTATATGCCCTTGCTTATTGCAAAGCTGACACCGAGGGCCCGAGTTGGACCGCCCCCGGCCACGGCCACCGCATCCTCCGCCGCGGCCGCCACCTCCTCGGTTCTGCGGACTGCCACCGCGTCCTCCGCGGCTCACGGCCAAGGCTGCCGGTGCGCCTAGAGCTGCACCGTCATCCGAACAGATCCATTCCTACGAAACAAGAAAATCTGCAACCCCCGGGAGGGGAACGGGAGCACCGCGGGCTAGGGTTGCCACCAATGGTTGGAAATCCGGGCGTAAACCACGAAACACGTATAAGTTCTGATCATCCAACTCAACATGACGACCGGCGAGAGCCAATTCATCAATCAACATCTGGGCACGACCAAGGTAATCAGATATGGAGGAATCACCTTGACGGAGCCCCTGAAGTTCACCGAGAAGCAGGAGTGCACGAGAGCGGGTAAACGAACCTAGGGTTTGTTCGATTACCTGCCAAAGCTGCCGCGAGGTGCCCTTGCCGACGGTGAAGCGAAGAGTCTCCTCGGATAAAGAGGAGATGAGCATGGAGAGGATGACTTTGTCTTGCCGGCGCCACGCGAGCTGCCATGTCGGGAGATCGGAAACCACCTTCGGGGCGCTGTCCGCGGTTGATGCCAGCGCCGGCGATGCCGTCAGAAAGGGTGTAGAACCATCAATAAACTCTAGAAGTCCTTGGCCTTCAAGAAACGGAAGCATCTGAGTCCGCCAGAACAGATAATTCCGGGAGGTCAACTTTAACAAAACAAAGTGATGAGCCGATGAGAGGCTACCACTCGTAGGAATCTCGGTAACAGTCCGTTCAGAGGAACCAAGAACAGAGCCGTCATTAACACCGATATTTTCCATAGAAAAAACCTAGATGATACCAGATGAGAATATATTTTCTGTATTTAATGAATAATGTCTGAGAGTACAGGGAGCGAATATATAGAGATACTAGATAGAATCCTAGTCTAACACAAATAATATAGTCCTAGTCTAATATGAATAATAGAGTCCTAATAATCTTTTTCGGGGCAAACCCTTCATTAAGAATCAAGCTCCAGTCTTTAAAATTGGAATAAAACAGGTTGATGCTATTGAACTTTAGACTTGAATTTAAAGAAATCAAAATCCAAATAAATGTTACCAAATCATTTGAGTTGCATGGGTCATTTGTTATTGAATTACATGCTCAGTTTGATTATTTAGATTACATGTAAATTGAAAGGATAAAGTTGTTTTTAGCGGATTCCATGTAACATCATTCTTTTCCAAAATTCAAATGCGCTGCTAGAGATGACAACTTGATTTTGCTTTTTTATTGGATGACAAGGAGATCTGTCGTTTAATTTTTATGGTATATACAAAGTATATTTTATATTTTTGTAATAGCATGCAAATGACATATAAGAGGTAAATTGCATTAAGAAGATCATGTATAACGGACTCAATTGAAAGTGTGTTGGCAAAACAAGATTGACAACTTGATTTTGAATTTTGGATTGAAGAGTTTAAATTAGATTAATGTGGGTGAATTTGGATTTAATTTTAGGTGATATGTATTGATATTATGAATTTGGACACTTTAATGTCCTGGTACATTTTTAATAAATAATATTATATATTAATATGTGAATAATATAATATCAAAGAATTTTAAGTATACAGTTACATATATAGGGATACGCTCTAATGCGAACAAGCGTACAGGAGAAAAATCAAAACGCATGATATCCATTCACGTGCTTAGATCTCACTGATGAGAAATATTGATTTTTTTTTTTTTAAACGCTATGGCATTTTCGTAAATAATTGAGCATCGAAGTGTAAGTAAATTGTGTTAAAAGTTCAAATAAATAATTTCATATAGTGCACCTAAGTGCAAGTAAAATGTATTACAAGTGCAAGTAAAATATACACTGAGCATCAATATTAAGTGCACCTAACGTTATCATTAGTTGCATCTAACGTTATCATTAAGTGCACCTATGTGAAATACTTTATCATTAGGTGCACGAATTTTAACAAGGTAAATTACTTGTACTTGTAAATGAAAATAGTTGCACTTGTAACACATTTTATGTGCACCAAATTTCGAGTTATTTACGAAAATGTCAGTGCGTCGTTTTTTTAAAATTACATCTGATTCGTTGATCTGGACACGTGGACGACTGTAAGTGGTTCTTATTTTTCTCCTGGGCATACCATTTTCACCTGAACACACACACACACACACACACACACACACACACACACACACACACACATATATATATATGAGAGAACAGTTTTATAATTCTTACAAACTTTTAAATTTTCATTATTTATAAAATTGATCACGCCCTTTCTCACCCTCCTTTTAATCACCTTCAATAGTTTATCAACCCAAATAAATGTATTAGATCTCACCATATATTTATCATTTGTTCTCACCATATATATATATATATATATATATATATATATATATATATATATATATATATATATATATATATATATATATATATATATATATATATATATATATATATAAAATGAATTGGGTTAAAATTTTAGAGGTAAAATAAACTTTTTTAAATTTATTAATATGTTTTTAAAAAATTATATTGGTTGTTGGTTGGTGGCAATAACTTATATTTTTATTATGATTATGATATGATAAGTCATCCAAAGGATATGATCACACCTAGCTGTAAATAAAAATAAATTAAAAATGATTATTCAAGGGATAAAATTTTGAATTATGTAAGAATGAGCTAGATGAATCATTTTTATATAAAATTTATGTTTTAAAATAATGTGAATTGTCAGATGTTTATTTTAAGTTAGAGAGACGAATATCTCCGAATGAACCTCTCCTAAGCTCACAACTATGGAGGGTTCAACTTCAACTAAGAGCCAAATACAAAACTATTGATTAAGGCAACCAATCGTTTATTAAGTCCAAAAAAAGAAAATAAATAAATATAAAAAGGAGTATTTAAATGGATAAATCTCAAAGACTCGATGAAAGGTCGCCGCGTAAAGTAGTTTTGGCGCCTATAAATACGTGGCCTCAGCGATGGAAGCGGTACACTCGCAAATGAAAGAGTGAGTCTAAGAGCAGAGCGTAGCCTGTCAACTTTGGCAACGTGTTCTTCTCTCCCAATTCTCTGCAACAAACTCTCTCTCTCTCTCTCTTTCTCTCTCTTTCCACTCTGTGGACTTTCTTTCTGATCTCTTTCTCCCATTTCTTCTCTTCCCACTTTTCCTCTCTACTCTCTAGTCTCAGTAGTCTTTTTGCCTTAGATAAAGCCATGTGCGGAATCTTGGCTGTTCTGGGTTGCTCTGATGATTCCCAGGCCAAAAGAGTTCGCGTTCTCGAGCTCTCTCGCAGGCAATTTTCTTCATTTCCATATTTCTCTCTCTCTCTCTCTTTTTGTTCTTGCTCTCTATCTATATATCCTATCTCTTTTCGTTTCTTCATTTTCCATGTGGGGTTTGATTGATATGGATATACCCATAAATCTCCATCTTGTCAAGATTCCAAAACTTCCTTAAAATTTGTTAAAACTGAAACAGAACTATGTAAAAATCGAAACTTTTTGGTTATGGATGTGACGAAACAGGAAATTAATTCTCTCTGGACAAGATTTCCGCTTATTATCTACGTTTAATGTAAATAATTTGGTTGAATATAAGTATAAAAGTGGGGTGGGATGAATCTCATCTCTGTAAGACAAATTGATGAGTTAACAGGGGAAGAACTCAAGAACTATACATGTGAAGTTGCTGACTTGCTATTCTATACCATATTTGTTTGTTTCTTTAAAGTCTTTGATGCATTTGTGGGCCAACAAACCTTTCATCATCGCTTGGAAATTATTAATTTAGGCTGCTACTTGATTTCAACTTTATAATAGTATTGATTTGAAGCTTTCTGCTGAAATCACCCTAAATTAGGCATCATAATTATATTGCTAGTGTTTAGATTTTATTTATTTATTTATTTTTTTGTTGAGTACTACTGACTCTATTACATTGTAGTATTTGTTTATCTATACTTTCTCAACCTTTTGAAGCAGATCTCATAACCTCCCATGGGAGAGTCACTACATGGTCATCTGATCACAAGGTGTTTGATGAAACAGGTTGAAGCACCGTGGTCCGGACTGGAGCGGGCTGTACCAACATGGGGACTGTTACTTGGCACACCAGAGGCTGGCAATCATTGATCCTGCCTCGGGTGATCAGCCTCTCTATAACGAGGACAAAACGATTGCTGTAACGGTAAATGGAGAAATCTACAACCATGAGGAACTCAGGAAGCAGTTGCCTAACCACAAGTTTTGGACTGGGAGTGACTGTGATGTCATTGCACATCTCGTGAGTAATAACCTTAGAAAACATATATAATATGCTTAAACAAGACCGAACATTAATGTCTGATGACAAGTTTAGAAGCTCTGATAATTAAGCTTTGATATCTTCTTCACCAGTATGAAGAACATGGAGAGAACTTTGTGGACATGTTGGATGGAATATTTTCCTTTGTTTTACTTGATACTCGCGACAACAGCTTCTTTGCTGCTCGTGATGCTATTGGGGTTACTTCCCTCTACATCGGATGGGGGCTTGATGGTAAACCTTTTAATTTTTAAATGGGTCGTTTAACAATCTTGAACCTAAGCTAAGCTGACTTTGTTTTGATGTTCTCTAGGCTCTGTCTGGATATCATCTGAACTAAAGGGTTTGAACGATGACTGTGAACATTTTGAGGTGTTCCCACCAGGGCATCTATATTCGAGCAAGTCTGGTGGTCTTCGCAGGTGGTACAATCCTCCTTGGTTCTCTGAGGCTATTCCATCAACTCCTTATGACCCCATGGTTTTGAGGCGCGCCTTTGAAGACGTGAGTCCAGTGTAGTCGTCTAATTTAATTATAGACGTTGTTGTTTAGGCTACTAAATGTTGTGATCATCGTGGAAATTGTTGCAGGCTGTGATTAAGAGGCTGATGACTGATGTGCCTTTCGGAGTTCTTCTTTCTGGAGGCCTCGATTCATCGTTAGTTGCTTCTATCACTTCTCGTTATTTGGCAGGCACAAAAGCTGCCAAGCAATGGGGAGCTCAGCTGCATTCTTTCTGTGTTGGCCTTGAGGTCAGTCAATCTTGTATATGGCTGAGTTGATAACATATGTATATATATATATATATATATATATATATATATATATATATATATATATTCTTGCATACGAATCAATTTCTCTTCTTGTGCTGGACAGGGATCACCGGATCTGAAGGCTGCAAGAGAAGTTGCGGATTATTTGGGAACGGTTCACCACGATTTTCACTTCACTGTTCAGGTATGCACACTAGTAGATCAGAGGACTAATGTTTTGCCTTTTTTTCTTATCGGATCTTGGTGACCAGCAACTATGGCTGACATGTTTGCAGGATGGAATTGATGCGATTGAGGATGTTATTTACCATATTGAGACTTATGATGTCACAACAATCAGGGCAAGCACTCCAATGTTCCTTATGTCGCGCAAGATTAAGGCACTCGGAGTGAAAATGGTCATATCTGGTGAAGGATCCGACGAGATTTTTGGTGGGTACTTGTACTTCCATAAGGCCCCCAACAAGGAAGAATTTCATCAAGAGACTTGTCGAAAGGTAATTTATATTTATATTTTCCCTGTACTGTGCTGCTTCGAGTAAAGAACAAGTTAGCAAACTCATGATGTTTTCTGTTTACGTGTAGATAAAAGCCCTTCACCAATATGATTGCTTGAGAGCCAATAAGGCAACATCTGCGTGGGGCTTAGAAGCTCGAGTCCCATTTTTGGACAAGGCATTCATCGATGCTGCCATGAGCATCGATCCTGAATGGAAGATGGTAAGCATTTTGCCCGAAGAAAAGTGTATGAGAACAACGAATTGAGGTGTACTTTCTCATCCTTCTCATTACTTTACAGATAAAACCCGAGGAAGGACGGATTGAGAAGTGGATTCTTAGAAGGGCCTTTGATGACGAGGAGCATCCCTATCTACCAAAGGTCTCGATTAACATCTTGCCCAGTTTATCCACTCGTTACTGAAGATTTTGCGTTTAATTCCACTGACATCCTCGGTTGTATTTCCACAGCATATTCTGTACAGGCAGAAGGAGCAATTCAGCGACGGTGTAGGCTATAGCTGGATCGATGGACTCAAAGCCCACGCCGAACAGCATGTATGTATCCTTGCTTTGTTTCATAATATCAAGAATGAAATATAATGGGTGTAACCCCAGCCAAGATAGCTAAGGATACAAACCTGTAACCAGTGTTGCAAAATCGGGCCTAGACGCTGATTACGCTAGGCGGTCAGCCACCTAAGCGCTCTAGGCGCCCTAGGCGGTCCCCAGGCGCCTAGAGGACGCTTAGCGATTTTTTCAACCTTGCCTGTAACCATAAGGTCACGAGTCCGAATCCCAACCTTTTTGGTTAAGCCAGTTAGCTATGGGCTGGTTTACCTCCTTGTGGTCATTTGCCGGCTAGGGTCACAGCCTCAGATAGTGGCTGCGGATTTCCCTCATCACCCCAAAAAGAATGAAAGCCAAGATGGCTAAAGATACGAATTTGTAACCATAAGGTCACCAGTTCGAATCCCAACCTTTTTGGTTTGAGCCAGTTAGCTCTGGGCTGGTTTACCTCCTTATGGTCCTTTGCCGGCTAGGGTCACAGCCTCGGATAGTGGCTGCGAATTTCCCTCGTCACCCCAAAAAGAATGAAATATAATGAATTGCTCAACAACCTAACTAGCTAGCCTCAAAATCATTCGCAGGTGACTGACAAGATGATGTTGAATGCTGCAAATATCTATCCTCACAACACCCCTACATCGAAGGAAGCATACTATTATCGAATGATCTTTGAGAGGTTCTTCCCGCAGGTAATAACACACTTAGCTTGTTCATAATCAACTACTACTCATAAGTTCCAAGAAGAGTAAGTTTGTGCCATTGTTTATCCTTAGAACTCAGCCACGCTAACTGTTCCCGGGGGAGCGAGTGTGGCCTGCAGCACAGCAAAAGCCGTCGAGTGGGATGCTTCATGGTCCAAGAATCTTGACCCTTCAGGGAGGGCTGCCATCGGTGTACACAACTCCGCTTACAAGAACCAACCGCCTCCTGCTGTTGCTGCTACTACTACTGCAAACATCATTGAGAACGTGCCTCGAATGATGGAAGTCTCTGCTCCAGAGCTCACAATTCGGGGCTAATATCATCTCATCTCCCTTCAAATCGAAGCTTAGCTTCTCACTCGATCTGCTTATGAGCTGTAGTAGAAGTAAGTGTCTCTTTTAGGCGCGGTGCTGAGTGGTATTATTAGGCTGTGTATAAATAAGAGCCCTTCCTTGTGGTGGTGTTGTAGAGGTGTTGTTTGTGTAAGCTGTGTTTTCTCTCTTTGTACTGTTTATCAAGGCTGCTTCTGTTATGCTTTGTATGAAAAGTTTAACCTTGTTATTATGGCTTCTTCGTTATCATTAAAAAAAAAATAAAAAATAAATAAATAAATAAATAAATAAAAACTCTGCTTCTAGTCCAAACTCGCATTAACTGCTCCAAATTCACTGCTCTCCTAAACGAAAAGAGCTTTTGGAGAGGGTTTGAGTGAGTTACTGCTTTGTAGAAGGCCATTTAAATGAACTACTATTGAAATGATTAGAGTAGTCATTTTTATTTCAGAAATTTTAATTGGAAGGTAAAATTTTGATAAAATTGTTATCATTGTTCAAATTTCTACCCGGCTCATAAGCCTTTATTACGAGCTTTTTTTTAGGCTTAATTGGTCATATTAGGGCACATTATACTATATGAATTATGATCTATATTTCAATATCCACCACATTGAAAGTTAAAAGGAGAAATTTCAGTTTTTGTCCTATGACTATAGGAGTCTTGTTAATTTGAGTCCCTGATTTTTAAAAGGAGTTAATACCCAAAATCGTCCTCGACTATAGTGGTTTTTCTCAATTTCGTCCTAAACGATTTTGGTGACCTAATATCGTCCCAGACTTTTGTGTTTCGCTCAATTTAGTCCCAGACTTTTGTGTTTTTGCTCAATTTAGTCTCTCATTTGTTATTCTGTCCATTTGGTGTTAAATAAATAGACAATTCAGTAATTTTAATATTGGCATTTCGTTACTCATAGACATGTGAACTGCGAAATCCCTTTTTTTTTTACGAATTACTCCCAGAATTACTCCTAAAACTGCGAATATAAAATTTGATTTGTAGGTCCGGGAGTAATTCTGGGTGTAATTCGTACAAGAAAGAAGAATTTCGCACTTCACAAGTTGAAAGTAAAGAGAGATCAATATTGACATTATTGAATTGTCCCTTTATTTAACACCAATTTGACGGAATAACAAATGGAGGACTAAATTGAGCGAAACACAAAAGTTTGGGACGATATTAGGTCACCAAAGTCGTTTAGGACGAAATTGAGAAAAACCACTATAGTCGATGACGATTTTGGGTATTAACTCTTTTTAAAAGTGACAATTTAATACCTTGACTATGCAATTTTTTTTCAATTTTGGACAGTCCGACCAAATTTCACCGGAAAAACATAATTAACTAATTAATGTTTAATCTGAGGGACAAATTTGTCTTTTTACTACCTTTCTCCCCCACTCCTCCCCTCCCTCACAAACCACCAGCCAAATCCATTATTTCCGGCGATGGTGGTTAGGCCATGGATCGGCAAAGGCAACAGCTTCATCTTCATCCATCTTCGATCCAACGGAGCAGCAATTAATCAACATCATCTTCATCCATCTTCGATCTCGTCATCCTCTTCCAGATTGACTTTCTATGTCAACACCGGGAAAAAAAAAAAAAAAAAAGGAAATCCAGTTCTCGCTTCACGCCATGGGCACCGGTGGGGAAAGATGTTGACGCCGGAGGAAAAAAAAAAAAAAAAAAAAAAAAACAGTTTTCATCATCCTTATCCAAGCTTCGTTGGTCAAGGTCGTTGGAGTTGTTGCGCCAACGGAAACCCAGTCGTCGCCGTAAATTTAAAAAAAAAAAAAAGTCGCTGGAGTTGTTGTGCAGCTGCTCACACCGTTGGTGCTGGAGGTTGTCGAAGCTTCGCTGATCAAGGTCGCCGGCTTTGCTGCTCCGTCGGAGAAGAACTAGCCACTGGAGAATGAAGTGTTGCCTTTGCCGATCCATGGAGTTGGTTGGTGGTTTGTGAGAGAGGGGAGGAGTGAGGGAGAAAGGTAGTAAAAAGAAGAATTTGCTCTTCAAATTAAACATTAATTGGTTTTTTTTTTTTTTTGAGATTAAACATTAATTGGTTAATTATATTCTTTTTGGCGAAATTTGGTCGAAGTGACTAAAATTGATAAAAATTACATAGTAAAGGTACTAAATTAACACTTTTGAAAGTTGTGGACTAAGATTAACAAAATTTCTATAATCACATGATCAAAATTGAAATTTACTCAAAATTAAAGTATAAAACTTATGTTCGTGATTTACTGTAAAAATAAACAAACATTCAAGGTGGGGCAAATTATACCACAGACTATGTTCTATATTGCATTGTGGACCCTGGTCTAAAAATAACATTCAAATTCTATATCAACAACTGATACATTTTGTATTAACCAACATGTTATGTGTCTGCAATTAACATATTATGTACATCGAGTTATGTGTTTGGAGTTATTATGTTATGTGTATGTAATTACAATGTGATGTGCCTTCAATTTGTTTACAAGTACAGAAATGGTTAACTATATGTACAAAATGTGTTAACTGTAGACACATAATTTTTAAGCTAACACCCTGTTTGGTAACATAATTTATCAGCCAATTTTAGCTTGATTGATTAACACGGTTCTATGTTTATAATTACTGAACTATATGTTCATAATTATAAAGCTATATATTCATAATTTTTGAACTTCATATTCATAATTATTGAACTCTATATTCACAATTACAGAACTCTATATTCATAATTACTGAACTATATGTTCATAATTATAAAGCTATATATTCATAATTTTTGAATTTCATATCACAATTATTGAATCTCTATATTCATAATTATAGAATTATATGTTCATAATTATGTTCACAACTCTATATTCATAATTTTTGAACTATATATTCATAATTATGAACAGTTAGGTGGACACGGATCCACAACATAATTTGTCATTATTTTGTATGGACCTAAATTACGTAAATTGTTTAATGGATTTGGGTCCACCTTACAAGGTAGACCCGAATCTAAAGATACACAATTTACATATTAAATGTTTACAATTTATTTTTTTAAAATTCACAATTTGTGATAACTCTGTATTGTATTCACAAATTCTCAAAACTTAAAAGTACAATCTATATTCTAGATGTTCACAATTCTAATACTAAAAATACCCAATTTAGTATCAGAGTTCACATTGTGCGGACCCTAATCCATGGTATAACAATGGGAAAAGGGTCAAATAGACCCCTAAACTTTTCAAGAAAAGTCAATTAAGCCCACGAACTTTAAAATAGTGCAATTGAACACATTAACTTACAATTTTAAGGCAGTGAAGCCCATTAGCCGGTTACTAGCCTGTAAGTGCCGGTAACGGCAAATTATGCTATGCGCACGGCGCTAAAACGGCGTCGTTTTCCGTGAAAACGACGCTGTTTTAACTAAAACAAAAAACAAAATTGTTCGAAACGCCGTTAACGGCATATTCGTTATGAAATTATGAATATACAATTATGACATTATGAATGTACAGTTATAGAATTATGAATGTATAGTTATGGAATTATGAACTTACAATTATGAACATAGAGCTTCGAAAATTATGAATGTTCGGTATGGAATTATGAATATACAGTATGGAATTATGAATGTACAGTTATGGAATTATGAATGTACAGTTATGGAATTATGAATGTACAGTTATGAAATTATGAACATAGAACTCTGACATTATGAACTTACAATTATGAACATAGAGCTTCGAAAATTATGAATTTACAGTTATTGAATTATGAATGTACAGTTACGGAATTATGAATGTACAGTTATAGAATTATGAATGTACAGTTATGAAATTATGAACACAAAGCTGTGAATATATGCTCCTATAACGAAGCGGTCTGAAATTAAATTTAAAAAAAAAAAAAAAAAAAAAAAAAGGGAAAATAACGGTGCCTGACGGCACCGTTATCCGTGCCCATGAAGCACGCTGGGCACGAGCCCACAGCATAACTATCCGCCGGTAACTACACATCTAGCTCGCCACATAAGCCTAATTAAAACAAAAAAAAAAAAAAAAAAAAAAAAAAAAAAAAAAAAAAAAACAAAAAAAATGAATTCAGTCGTATTTCTCTCAATCGCACAGTGCCCATCGGCTTCCTCCTCCAGCCCTAATCGCACCACCACCAGCGTCGCCCACCACTGTCCTCTACCACCGTCCACTACCAGTGTTGCTCCACCACCAAAATTTGGGTCCAGCCCTAATAGCACAACCATCATCATTGGCTTCTTCACTGCTGCATCACCACCAGCGTCGCTCCACCACCAAAAGTTGAAGATTTTTTCTTTCTTTTTCTTTTTCTTCATCATCGTTTTTCTTCATTACATTAATTGCTTATACTCCTTTCGTTTGTTATAGCTTGGTCAATCACGGGAGCCACTCATTCACCCGGGATCAAACTCAAGCAATCAAGCCTCTCAAGCATCAATGAACCAATGAACTGACATTAGAAACTTAGTTTTTTTTTGGGATTAGAAACTTAGTTTGCTTTCGTAGAACTTGTCCGAAATTTTGCAGAAACTTAGTACTGTAATTACTTGATAAAATTACTGAAATCTTTTGAAATGACTGAGAGCATAATGAATTGAAGCTTTTGTTTGGCTTAACTCTGTTTTCCAGTAGAATCTTTTGTTCCTGGCAATTGGACCTCAATAGTTTACTTCATATAAAGCAAATTGCAGGTTTTGATGACTTAATTGTTAAAGGTTTTGAAATGTGCAACTTGTGGAATGCAGCTCTCTTGTGTTGGAAGGTAGTACTACTTGTTACGATGAATTAAACTGAGAAAATTCCCCTTTTATTTTGGAAGTCAATTTTAACAAACTTTCATGTCAGGTAGTGGACGGTGGTAGAGGACCGTGGTGGGCGACGCTGGTGGTGGTGCGATTAGGGCCGGAGGAGGAAGCCGATGGGCACTGTGCGATTGAGAGAAATACGACTGAATTCATTTTTTTTTTTTTGTTTTAATTAGGCTTATGTGGCGAGCCAGATGTGTAGTTACCGGCACTTACAGGCTAGTAACCGGCTAATGGGCTTCACTGCTATAAAATTGTAAGTTAATGTGTTCAATTGCACTATTTTAAAGTTTGTGGACCTAATTGACTTTTCGTGAAAAGTTTAGGGGTCTATTTGACCATTTTCCCTATAACAATTGATATATTTATGCTATGGACCCGGGTCCACTTTGCAAGGTGGACCCAGGT